GTTAAATGGGTTTGTTATTTGGGCTTGGTTTGGGTAATTGTGGGTTTTGGGTTTTGGGTAATTTTTGGTTTTGGGATTTTGGGCTTGGGTAGTTGGTAGGTTTTGGATTTTTGGATTTTTAACTTCAATGTATTTTACCCTTCAACTTTTTATTTCTTCAATTAAGTCCCTTCTTTCTTCTTCTCCCCCTTTTTTCGAAATTTCCCTTTGCTTGCCAACCTAACAATGAAAGTAAAAATCAACCATATTAATGAAGATAAAAACTAAAATAAAAATAAAATTTTTAAAAATTTTGAGTTATGACAATATCGTCGCAATCTGATTTAATACCTAACAAGTTGAAATGAACAAATTTGACATGGATATCAATCAAAATTAAAAATCATATCGTCGCAATCTGATTTATTATCTAACAAGTTGAAACGAACAAATTTGACATGGATATCAATCAAAATTAAAAACCATATCGTCGCAATCTGATTTATTACCTAACAAGTTGAAACGAACACCATAAAAATGACAAATGGTGGGCTATAGAAATATAGAAACATGACAAAGAAAATGGCATTGGGAATTCAAATCTTGATTTTGTCTACCCTATTTACTCTTCTTTTAGTGTGTTCAGCTCGAAACACCCCTCATATCTTCTCAGGTGTGACTCTATCCTCTATCCTCTTAGCCTTAAGTTTTTATTCCTTTAATTAAAGCTGTGTATGGTTGCCATAGAACCTTATAAATGAAGCTTTTGCCCTTGGATCCTTTTGTCCTATGGTTAATAGACTAAAGGGATTTAGTTGACTAAATCCTCACTTCATTAACAAATTTAATGACTAAACCCACACCTTTTTCTTAGGAGTATTTAACTTCAAGATAAACATATTAGGAAGGTGGGAGATCTAGATTTTGTTTAATATGATTATAGTTTTTAGTTTTGTTTTTTATAAATTTTTATTTTTGTTTTTTTATGAATTTTTTGACTCTAAACAAAAAATTTGTTTACTTTTATATGTTTTTGTTATATATTATTATGTTTATTGGAGAAATAAAAACAAAATAATTTTAATACTATTAAATAAGTTTATAGTTTCCATTATTAGTGTTAAAACCCATCTTAAATAAATTGTTAATTTTTAATCTTTAGTTTTCCTTTCCAAAGTTACAAAATTTATGAAATGGTCAAAATTAAAAATTAAAACTATATTAAATAGAGCCTTAATTTCTCATTAGTAATACACATTCTACTAAATTAAAGACTCATTAAATCCATACACGTCAAGATTTGAAAGCTGACCCTATATTTTATTTTGATTATTCACAATAAAGAGCTCAACCTTTAATGCATGACGACTTGAAAACTACAACCTAAAATTTTATTTAGATCATTCAAAACTAGGATCTCAACTCCTGCAAATTGATGATTCGAAGGTTAACCCTGAGTTTCAAACAAGTTATTCAGAACTAGAACCTTCCCCACCGGAGACTAAGGACTTGAAGTTTAACCCCAAATTTATAGATCCAGGAGCTGTCCCGCCACAGCAAGATCATGACTTGAAGGTTAACCCTGAATTTCATTCAGTTTATATAGGTCCAAGAGCTCCCCCGCAGCACCATGGTGACTTGAAGGTTGCCCCGCCGCAGCAAGATCACGACTTGAAGGTTAACCCTGAATTTCATTCAGATTATATAGGTCCAAGACATCCCCGGCCGAGCCATGGTAAGGTTCCCCCGGCGCACCAAGATCACGACTTCAAGGTTAACCCTGAATTTCATTCAGATTATAGAGGTCCAAGACATCCCCCGCCGAGCCAGGAATTTAATTGAGAATATTCACCACTAAGAGCTTACCTGCCGCAGAATGTGATTGAAATAAGTGTATTTTAATTTACACTGTTTGCAATAAATAAAATAAAAATAAATTTGAAATACATTTATTTATTTTTAAATACATTGTTGGAATATGCATCCATTTGAAATTAAATTTGAAAAAAATTGAATTTTAAATTAGACTTGATAAAATTTTATCTGATCTACCTACTGTATAAATAGTTATAGTTGTTGTGATAAGGATCAAATGGATTAAAGAAAATTTTAAAAAAATTGAACATGAAACGGCACTTGGGTTTATTCAAATAATTCATCTCATAAATTCAACAAAATTTGTCATAAATGAAACCCAAATAAAGAATAACAATGCTCCGGATCCTGATCCAGTGCAGGTGAAGGAGGAGAGACAGTGAACGCAAAAAACCCAGCCTGAACGTAAAACCCAGATTTTCCTTCCATTTTCACAGACTTTCTCAATCTACTTTGCCAGAGCCAGACTTCCTCGGCAGCCAAACACGCGAAAGAAAAAAAAATAATTAAAGAAACCCAGATGAATTAAAAAGAGTTATGTACACATTATATCGTATGCAGTTGTAATTGGATGTGACAATTTATGACATCATGATTTTCTGTTCTCTTTTAATTAATCAAAATTAATTATTTTAAATGGAGTTTTATAAGTTAATTAATCAGATTTTATTAATTTTAATCGAAAGTCAATGTTCGGTCAACTCAATGTCAATCTTTTTCGATTCTAATTTAACTCTCATCTTTTCAAAACCGCCCAAATAAGTTCTTAATTTCCAATTTGTTTTAAATTACATCCAAACGTTTTTGAATCTGTACAGTTTAGTCCCTTAATTTTATTATTATTATTTATTTTGTTCAATTTAATATGTGCATTTCAATTCCCTTTAGTTAAACTCAAAGTTTTCAATGTTCATATTTATACCCATGCATATTTGGTTTGTTTCATTTAAGGCCATTAACTTAAAGAGACATTTATATTTAAACCCCAAATTTAAAGTATGTAAGTATATTTTACACAAAAGATTGTGTGTGCGCACTACCTCCTAACTGAATCCTCAAACATTAATCTTTATGTAATTTCATTTTAGGTGACTTTTTTGGATTGAGTGGTGACTCTGATTTTTTTTCAATCTTTCACACTTAAAAATTTTTCAATTTTTATTTTTGAATTTTAAGTGGTTGTCAACCACATATCCCCAAAGACGAAGAATGGTGAGCTGAGATGTGAATCAATTACTTTCTTTAGAACATTGTATGCTAGTGGTGTCCCTAAGATATAACAGTCCAACATTCTTTGTTATGGCTTTACAAGTTTGCCCCCATCACCTTTCTTTACCCAAGAGAGTTTAAAGAACTACATACTGTATACGGAAGAAGAGTGCAAAAGAATGTAGATTGTGCAAAAGGAGAGGCTGCCTATTTATAGGCCTTTTGATGTGTAACCGAAAAATATGAAATTTACAAGGAGGGATTGAATAGAAAAACGTTCGCAAAGTTCAAAACATTTTAAATGAAGGTAAGCATATCATTCAGCCGGTTGCAAAACGGATTCGTAATGATGAGGATTGAAAAAAATTTAATTTGAATGTTTTAAACGAAAACGTTTCCAATTTCTTTAATTAAAATTTACAACATGTCCTATGCTTGCCTTCATGGAATATTCCTCTTCTGCTGTTCTCCAACTCCTATCTTCTAATTCTTTCTATCAATTCTCTCCATTTCCTGATGTTAGAATTTAAACCATCAATATACCTAAAAGTTAAGATACCAAGATCTAATAAAATAAATAAATTACGTATTTGAATATTTATAATCAATATATTACTTATGAATCTTCAAAGGATCTTCAAGAATCATCACAATTTGGGATCACATGATAAGATCTACAAAACAAATATAATTAATATTGGGATTTAGGTTTTCCTCTCCCTATTTAACTTCTGTATAGTGACAACTAATGGGTTATGTTACTCTCTAACTCTACTATTTATAGAAGTAGGGTTTTTCAATTGAAGAGGAGACTTAACCCACTATAATAACCATTTTGGGCACCCTTATCAAGGAGCCCACCTTTAATTTTAATCCCTACACCTATTCATATCACATCATATAAAACTAAGATAAAACCTAAGCCCACTTGGATCACATAACTTTATTGGGTTTTATCGATTTTCCATTTGATCTAATTTTAAAAATCAAATACAATTAGTGGTAGCCCGCATAAAAATTTTCAACATTCTCCCACTTGGGCAATGCTAATTGCTTTTACATTTAAAAACATATTTTAAAAAATGATTCTTGGTCAAACATAATTTTAGTGGCCACATATATAAATCAAAATCTCAGTATAGAATTTCGTTCAATAGAAATATCAATACTAAAATGTGTGGTCATTATGTCACTAATAACTCAAGACCCCTTACAATTACAAATATCAAATATCTCTACCAACATTAATTCCAATAGGTGTGATAAAGTGTAACGTGGTTTGACGCAACGTGATCCATATAATATATAACATGTCAAAACCACAATAGTCATCTTTATGGTTTCAAAGAAACATTTTTATTAAGATGTAATCCCTTTTACACTTCCCTAAGAAAAGCCTTTAAATTTTATTATAGTTTCATAGAAATCTAGGAGATAATCTCCCTCACTTTTCTAAAAAGCCTTTACATTTCAAAAGAAGTTCATACACTTGCAAAGAAGCCTTTTTCCTTTACACCTCAAGATCTCAATATCAATGTCTATATCAACTCATAAAAACCATCAATGCACTGCACATGCATTATTATAAAATAATAAATGATACAATAAGTCAAATAAAATTTATTATTAACAAAGAAATCAACTTTTGCCACTAATCAAGAATATCTAAAATAATTCTCATAGATAACCAACGAAGTTATAATCTTTTGATTTATAAATTAGTTAACATAGTCACAATAATGCATGACTATAATCATTATTCATAATTTCATTGTCATGTTACTCTCATTTTATAAGGTAAAGGTTAAACCCCCGTTTTGGTCCCTCAACTATTGTACGGACCCCCGACTTAGTCCTCCAACTCAAAAAATCCCTGATTTGGTCCCTACTGTTTACTATTTTGACCCCAATTTAGTCCCTCCATTAAAAATCCAGTGACATGTCCCGTTAATTAACTGGAGTATGATGACATGTCCAAATAACTTGACACATCAGATACATACTTGAAAAAAAAATGACAACACGACAAAAAAATGATGACATAGAAAAAAATAATATATCAAAAAACTTAAAAAATTCTTTCTTTTTCTTTTTTCTTCTCTTTACCTTTCTTTTCCCCTTGTAACCCAATGCCTACTGGGTTCCTTCGAACCCAGGCGTCTTGGGTTCCATGCTTGGGTTCCAAGGAACCCAAGGCCTGCATCTCGATGGAACCCAGGCTCTGGGTTTCGAACAAACCCAGGCTGCTTGGGTTTTGAACGAAACCCAGGCTGCTTGGGTTTTGAACGAAACCCAGGCT